CCCCAGAGAGTCCAGGAATTTGTCCAGGCCCACCCGTGAGCTGTTGGGGGAGACGTAGCAGCTGTACACAGCCAGTTTCCCCCACCGCACCGCCACGAACCCACGGCCCCGGTCGAGCACGCCGCGGACCGCGAGGCTCCCCGGCCGGTGGACCCACGTGACAGCAGCCACGCCGTTCTCGTCCCCTGCCCACGTGGGGAACTCCGGGACTCTCCAGGGCTCAGCGAGCACCAGGAGACTCGCCTCCCTCTCCCGCAGAACCTGCAGCGACAGGTTCTGCGCCGGCCCGCTGTGATTCACGTTAACTTGAACTACGCGGGCCATTTTGCTCTACGTCCATGGCCTCTTGGCCATGGACGACCGTCCTCCGCACGGTCAGGGTGCCTCCTTTGAGGCCGTTGCGCCCCTTGTGTTTCGACAGGCACGCCTCTCCCCCGAGTCTGTGCGCGGACGGGAGACCTCGGTCAGCGCACAGAACGCACCGGGCCAGACCCTGGCATTCTCGGGAACGGTGGCCGGGTTTGCTACACCGGTAGCAAATATCTTCCCGGTCCACCGTGTTTTTGCACGCCTGCCTGACGTGGCCAAACTCCAGGCACTTGAAGCACTGAAACTGGCGGCCAGGCAGGAGCGACACTTTGATTTTCGACCACCCCACTCGGAGGTGGCCGAGCTCGGCCACTTTTGTGGCCACGTCTAACGGGCACCGGACCCAGACTGCTCCCAGGCGATCACGTCCCTCCGTCACGGGGCCCACCGTGACGTTCGACGGCCGGCAACCGCCGAAATCAGCCGAGCACAACCGCTCTACCAACTCCTCGGCGGTCACCGACTTGTCCAAGCCGGTGAGCCGCANCTCACCCCTGCGGATTGGGCGGGAGACTGTCGCTCTCCCCTCCAGAACCGGGGCCAGAGCCTCGGCTAGGCGATCCGCCTTGGCCGCGCCGTCGAGGCCCGGAACCTCCACAAGAATTCCGCCCCCGACATCCTTGCGGACGCGCGTCTCTGCAATGTCCAGGTCGGACAGAGCAATCCTCTCCCGCGCGAGCCGGAGGACAGCCGCGTAGGATGTTTCCCCCTTGTCATCGGGGGAACACCTAATAGCCACGGCCGCAGCCGTGCGACGGCGTCGGCGGCGGCGGCCACTCTCAGTGGCGGCGGGAGCTGGGCGCTGCCGGCCCTCGCCTCTCGTCTGGGCCGAAGGAACTTTCTCTTCCGCACGTTTGTTACGGCGACGGACCACCGTCACCCAGTTTGTCTCGTCGGGAAGAGACGCCGCAGTTACCCCCTCACGCGGAGGTTTCACCCCATCAGCACCCCGGCCGGCGTTTCCGACCGCCACGGCCCCAACAGGGGCTGGATCGCCCTCCGAGGGTTTGCATCTCGGTGCTTGGGGCTGAGGCGGCCGCCCGCCATCAGCACTTGGGCCTTCAGGAGAGGCCACGACGTTCATGAGCTGGTGGAGCAGCTCCTGGACCCCTCCTATCTGACGCTCAATGGCCGCTACTCGGCCATGGAGCGCGCCGTCCCCACCGCCAGTGTCCTGGACGACCCGAGCGCCGTCCAGGACCTTGCGCGTCTCGCTGACTTTGAGTCGCACCGCTGGCGGGATAATCGTCCCTGGCGGAAGAAACCTGAAGAAATGGTGACCTCCACGGAGGTCACCACCGGACCACGCAAGGCGTCTGTTTGGGCAGACGCTTCCCGGGTCAGCCCTCTTGTACTAGCCCGGGAGGTGGCCGCGGCAATCCGTATCTCGCACTGCTCGCGGAGATCGTTATACTCTCGGCGGAGAATACTGTTCTCCGCCTCGAGTTCCCTCAGCTTATTGCCGCGCTTCGCGGCCTCGTCTTCAGCGTGCCGCACCCTTAGTCGGAGACCCACGTCGTCGGTGTCGGCCANGCACAATTAGAAAGCCAGTTCGCCGTCTGCGAAGTGAAAGGAGACGACGCAAAATACGCGTATGTACTAGCGAAGCTAGAACCACGGCAGGCAAGAGAAGTGAAAGATGTGATCACTCAGCCCCCGCCAGGAAATAAGTACGCAACATTAAAGAAGGCNTTAATACAACGTCTAACCGACTCACACGAGCAACGAATGCGGCAACTACTGGAGCAAGAGGAACTAGGAGATAGGAAGCCATCACAGTTTCTACGACATCTTACGACCCTCGCAGGAACAACAGTATCGGACAAGTTACTACGAACATTATGGCTCGGGCGCCTTCNGCCACAGGTCCAAGCCATCCTGGCAACAAGAGCCGAGGACGACTTAAGCAGTGTCGCCGAACAAGCAGATCGCATCCATGAGATCAATAGCAGAGCAGTCGTACTGGCGACCACACCGCATGCAGCAGCAGCAGTAACAACACAAGGAACAACGGCAGATCAGATCGAGGCCTTGACAAAACAGGTCGCAGCACTGACAAACCAAATGGCCAAACTCATGAAGCAGGGNAGATCCCGATTAAGGAGCCGTTCCCGGAGCAGAGCCAGGAAAAACGCAGGGGAAGAGAAAGACATNTGCTACTATCACCGNAGATTCGGAGAAGAAGCCCGCAGATGTGNACAACCTTGCGCATATANAACAAAAAACGAAGAGGCCAGTCATTAATGGCGGTAGATGACGAGGGCCCAGGACCACGCCGCCTCTACATGGTAGACAGGAAAANNCAAACAGGATTCCTAGTCGACACCGGATCCGATGTAAGCATATACCCCCGGAGGATGACAAGAGGCATAAATCGAGCAGGACACACCATGGAGTTATACGCGGCAAACGGGACGAAGATCAAAACATACGGAACCGTCACTCTGCAACCCGAATTCGGCTTACGCAGAACATTCCTATGGCGATTTGTCATCGCAGAGATTGCGCAGCCAATAATTGGAGCAGACTTCCTGGCCCACTTCCACCTTCTACCAGACGTCAGAAGAAAGAGGTTGGTAGACGGAAAAACGGGACTAAGCACGGCAGGGCAAACAAGGCACTCAAAGATAACGTCAGTAAAAACACTAGAAGAAAGCACGCGCTATCACAAAATACTAGCAGAGTTCCCAGAGCTCACAAGGATAGGGGACCAGACAAGAAGAGTGACCCATGGCACGGAACACCATATCACGGTAACCGCAGGACAACCAGAGACATCAAAGCCAAGGA